ACGGTAAATATTTTGGTAATAAAATTATATTATTGTAGAGTGAGTGCGACGAACCAAACAGGGCTATTCTGCGCGGCGTGTGAGGTGAAGTGACAGTGAAGTGATGGTGAAGTGACAATTGTCACCTCGGGTGAGGTGACTCTCCATTTGATTTGCACGGAGAGTCACCTCACCCGAGGTGACAATTGTCACTTCACAAGTGAGAGCGTGTCACCTCACCTTACACGCCGCGCAGAATAGGCCTGAAAAGCAGTTTGCTTTCCTGGTTGATCGGATGGAAGCACATCCGTCGGTTGCCAGTGGGTTAAATCATGTATCTCGGCAACAGCTAAACCGAATTTTACGCAACAACAACCAAATAAAAGGTCTTGGGTTCTAATACACGAATCTTACACGCAGAGAAATGATTTTTAAATTCAAATGGATATATTTTTGACTCAGGGCTAGAGCTTCCATCCCGGGATGTCCCGGGATGAAAATCCCTTGATCGTGGCATTTTCCGGGATTACCGAATCCCGGGAAATAAATTTATAAATCCCGGGATTGCGTTAATCCCGGGAAATTTTTTTATCACTCTTTTACCCCATAAAATCTATCTTGGAATATCTGTAGCAGAATCCAGAACTTTCACATCTTATGAAATATATCTCTTCCCTTCGTTTGTCATTCATTCTGATTTATCGAAAGTATGGCACACAGACATCACTTTTTGTATATGATCGTTGTACAAGAAGCACTCGTGAAAAATACGATCTAGCAGTGAAGCATACCGTGAACATTTTTATTAAATTTTATAATCGCGTATATAGATGGTACATAGACGAAAATTAGGTTGAGCGTTGTGCGATGTCCATCATTCATAGTTGATCGAAAAACCATTGAAATGCATTGTTAAGATGGTTGGAAGTACGTAGTACTAGTCTCAACTGATGAAAAAACTCAGTATTTGCAGATTTTAGAGTCCTTCCTCCGATTAGTGTGCTGAATCTTGTAAAATGCTTACTCCTTCTGGAGGAACTTCTATAGGTCACCGTTTTCTATCCTGGCTACCATAGCTCTCTATCGCTATCATTTGTTACGCACAAAGGTATGCATTACCTTCACCCATAAGTATGTCATCTATGTAATCCTAAAGCACGGCAAAATAGTTTTTACAAAAACATTCATTAGAGAAATCATCCACCATACTCTTCATGATCTATACGCACTATTGTGAAATTTGGCATCATGTCACATTAGGGCACTTCGTAGATGCCAAGAGACATTCATTTGATTTCAGAGAACTTCATAGAAGTTCGTGGAACTTCAGGGACCATCATAGATCTTCAGGATACTTAGTAGAATGTTTAACAACTTCGTGGACGATGATTACGGAACATCGCATGAATTATTTGAAAGTTCTGCAAGCTAGGCAGAAATTAAGTTCTACCTATCAAAAAATTGAAAGATGTAAGCTATGAAAAAATCTTTGAAATACTGGGAACTTCGAAGAAGTTGACGGAATATCCCAGGAATTCGACGAATATTCTACATATGCAGAGAATTTGATATAGGCTTTGAGATCATGAAACTGAGTTTAAGTTCAAGAAACTTCTTGAAAGTACAGGAATCTTCGTAAAACTGATATTTACCGATTTGCGATGATATCTCTCGATATTATTCAAGACTTTTCAACTTAATAAAGTTATGTTCTGAAGATCTGCAACTGTTCAAAAATTCAAACGACAATTTTTAGACATCCTTCCAAGATGGAAGTTTGATTAGAGAGTATTTAAAGGATATGCAGTTGGTCCGAGATTTAAAGACCTCTGGATTTTTTTCAAGACTTCAGGTTGATCAATTATTATTCTTAAGATATTCAACTGTTCATAAAATTCAAATAACGTTTCTAGATAGTCTCTCAAGATTGCTGGTTGGTCAGATATTAGTGAATTCAGGTTGATCAGGAAATCTGAAGATCTTAAACTAGTCAAACATGCAATTGGCTCTCTCAAGATAGCAGATCGGTTAGAAAGATCCCCAGCTGATCGAAGATCACAATAAATTCCTCTGGATATTTTTCAAGGTTGTTAAATTAAAAATGGCTAGTGCTCCTAATAAACATGTTCAGGATGATAAAGAATTGATAAAAATCTTGAAATTTGAAATGATGTGCGCCCTTGATAAGCATGTTCTGGATAAAATTTAAAAAAATACATTTGAAATGGCTTGCGCTTCTGGTTAACATGTTCAGGGCAAGATTGATCTAAATCGTTAAATTTGAAATGGGTAGCGCCCCTGATATAGACGTTCAGGGGCGCAGTAAATAAATGCTTAATTTGAAATCGCTAACGCCCCTGGTAGACAAGTTCAGGGAATAATTGAAAAAATATGTTAAATTTTAAATTGATTGAGCCCTAATAAATATGGTCAAGGGAAAATTTAAAAAAAAAATGGTAAATTCAAAATGGTAAACATGATCAGGGAAAAATTGGAGGAACAAAAATTGAAATGACTTGTTCCCCTGCTACACAAGTTCACGGAAAAATTTAAATAAAATTTTAAATGGCTAAGGCACATGTTAACATGGCCAGGGAAAAATTGATCAAATTCATTAAAATTTAAGTGACTAGCGCACCTGGTAGACAAGTTCAGATTAAAATTGCATTCAGGGAAAAACCAAAACCCATACGTTAAATTTCAAATGGCTAGCGCCCCTGGTAAAATTTTTCAGGTTTTTTTCCTAATAGTTTATTTGTTAGGCTCTAATGTCCAAAAGGACTCCACGGAGCCTAGAACTATTATATAATTTAATAATATATTAAAGTATTACAGTCTGGAACGCGAAAAAATTGGTCAACTTCAAATTGGTGTATTTCTGTTAAAATGCATAAAAAACCTGAAATGCTGCATTTGGAAGTTGAGTGTATATACAACGGTTGCTATGATGAGTTTTCACCGTTTGCTCTCCAGTTTTCAAAATGACGTCCAGGCAAGAGGAGCAGCGTGTCAAAATTTTACTCGCGCAGCAAGAGAATCCGACTTTCTCTCACGCCAAGTTGGCAAAATTGTTGGATGTGGCCAGATCGACCGTGACAAATGTCTTAAAAGTGTTCGGGGAACGTCTGTCGACCGCCAGGAAGCCTGGAAGCGGTGGCAATCCGACGAAGAAGCGGGCCAAGAAACGAGCCGGGTTGTCGACGTTTAAGAAGGTGAAGGTGGCGAACCGAGATTACAAACAAAACACGTCGGCAAAGCAGCGGTCCCGAAAGCTGTATACGAATCTGCTCACAAAGTTCGAATGCAACGGCGCTGGTGGTGTAGTGGTAAGCGTGATTGAACCCAGCAGGCCTGGGTTCAATCCCAGTCGGCGCCACCGGGATGTTCTAAGGCATAACATCTCTGATCACGCCTTCCTTCGGATGGGAAGTAAAACCGTTGGTCCCCGGTTCATGAGTTGATGGGTCGATAGGTAGGGTCCAGGTGTGGGAGCTGCCTTCCTGGCACGTCGGTAGCATTGGTGCTCAGCACGGAAAACAAGATCGACGGAAAAAAACAAACCAAAGGAAAAAAAAAAAAAGTTCGACTGTGTGGTCATGGACGACGAAACTTATGTGAAGGCGGATTTCAAGCAGCTTCCGGGACAGGAGTTCTATACAGGCATGGAAAATCATTTACATTCATTTCATGCATTCATTTGCCTCTAACTTTTCTCATCAACAGCATTCCACAAAATGATGTAAAGAGCTTTTGTAGGTTTTGTTATTAACTACAACTTTTGCCCATAACTCAAATCTGTATCTCTTATGCATCACGAACTAGAGTGGGCAGAACTTGTCACTGTTTTTCAGTGAATGTAAGATACATTCACTGCAAAACAGTAGTGGCTTCTGTTCGCTCTGGTTCGTCATGCAGAAGAGATACGGATTTGAGTATTTACCAAAAGTTGTAGCTAATAACAAAACCTACAAAAACTCTATACATCATTTTGTGGAATTCTGTTGATGAAAAAAGTAAGGCACAAATGAATGTAAATGAATGCACGAAATGAATGCAAATGATTTTTCTATGCCTGGTTCTATACCGCATCAGGAAAAGGGAAGGTGGCTGAAATTTTCAAAACCATCCACCTATCGAAGTTTCCGAAAAAAATTCTCGTCTGGCAGGCCATATGCACGTGTGGTCTAAAAAGCGGCATTTTCATTACTACGGGAACCATCAATAAAGAAATCTACGTCCAGGAGTGCCTGGAAAAGTGGCTGCTACCATTCCTAATAGACCTGTGCTGTTCTGGCCGGACTTGGCGAGCTTCCACTTTGGGAAAAAGGCAATCGAGTGGTACGATGCTAACAATGTGGTTGCGGTACCCAAAGACCACAACCCTCCCAACAGCCCAGAACTCCGCCCTATCGAACGGTATTGGGCCTTGGTCAAACGGAATCTAAAAAAAAAAATTATAAATCCATGAAAAACGCGTAACTAAACTGGCGTTCGGCGGCAAATAAGGTCGATGAGACCACTGTGCAAAATTTAATGGAAGGGGTTAAGCGGAAGGCACGGCAGTTCGGATTTGGCAAACCAAAAGAATAAGCGAACATTTTTTTCCTTTAAATCTATGAATTGAACTACCAAAAGAAAAATAAGAAGATTTTTGCGATATGAATTTTGACTGAAAGAAACGATTTTTTTGTCGACCATTTTTTGCGCGTTCCAGTCTTTATATGCAATTCCAAGCTTTTTAGCTACCCATCGGTGGGACGCCTCTGGATTTTGATTGTAAGTGCACAAAACATTTTCACGGACAATTTCTTGTTTCGATGACATGACTGGACCTACTGTATGAATAACTATGAAACTAGACAGATGTAAACAATACACTTTGAATAAGATGAAGTCACATTTTCAGGTTTTTTACTTATACGATTCAAAAGTTACAGAAGATTTTCGGTGTGCCATTTTTTATCGAATACACCCTTTAGTCTATTGATTTGTAATGATCGTGATTGTCTATTTCATTGCAGGAATGGCCCCTCCAGATCAAATACGTACAACTAAGGGATGCCGGTCTGTACGAGTGCCAGGTGTCGACGCATCCTCCAACGTCAATATTTGTCCAGCTAGATGTTGTCGGTGAGTTAAAACCAATCGATTGAAAATTGCTAATCAACCCAACTGTTTCCTTATTAACTGAAATTGACTCCTACGATATCGTCCAACAGAGGCCAAGGCAGAGATTTTCGGCCCATCGGATAAGTATCTCAAGCCGGGATCGACGCTGCGGCTCACCTGCAGGGTGGTCCAAAGCAACGAGCAACCGCTGTACATTTTCTGGTACCACAACAATCGTATGATCAACTACGATGTCCATCTGGGCGTGAATGTGTCCACCGAATCCGGTAAGTTTGCCAAAGTCTGCTCACAAAGAAGATCCACTGGATTTATGTGCATCGGAATTTGTTTCTTTGGCCGTTGTAGATAATCGCTTCTCGGAACTGGTGATTACGCACTCCAATACGATCAACTCTGGAAACTACTCATGCGTGTCGAACAATGCAGTGGCAGCATCAACTTATGTGCACATTTTGAACGGTAAGATAGCCATGTTTGATTGGAATTTTAGGTTGCAATCACGGGATCGGCATCCCCATCAAGCTCCTGGCAAATTGATTAATCTGAACTGAACAATCAATGCACAGTGGGCCAGGAATTAAATCTTGCAGGAGAAACATATTAACACTCTGGGATTGCATCCCATTACTAGGCGGGGTGATTTTTTTGTTTTATTCAATATAGGGCTCTTTTAGCTCAATACACTTATTCCAGCAATTTTCCTACTTCATGATCCCGTCCGAAAAGTAATTTTCCGGAAGGTCTGCAAAATACTTCTCCGCAGCGTCGATGATTTCCTCATGTGAACTGATTTTTTTTAATTGAGCCATCTTTTGAGGTTTGGGAAGAGATAATAGTCAGAGGGCGAATAGGATGCGGAAGCAATTTGAGCCGTAAGTCATTGATTTTAGCCGTGGTTTCGATGCTCTTGTGCACCGGCGCATTGTCTTGCAAAAACCGAGGCTGTTTTGCAGCGATTTCGATCACTCCAATACTCCAATACTCACTGTTGATGGTTCGAGTTAGAGCACTTGTACCGGCCTCAGTGCATTGCTGGGCACTCATTCTGTTCTCTAGGGTTTAATAGTGGATCCAGATTTCATCAACAGTTACCACTCGACGCCAAAAGTCCGCCCGATTCCGCATCATCAAGTCCAAACACTCTTTCGAATTGCTCTCGCGTTCGTGTTTTTGGTCAGGAGTGAGCTCACTGCGCGGCACCCAGCGGCAGGATAACTTTTGACGTAGGACTACGTCTTTGATTTCTATATGTGGGTACACTTTGTGAAAACCGCAAATGGAACATGTAACAAATTAAGAAAGATTTTGAACGTTAATAACTCAGCTGCTCCTGCTCCAATTTCAATAATGTTATCACCAATCGATCAGAAATATGGCTACGCATCGATAACAATGCTTCCGAATGTCGATTTTTAACAAAAAACTATTGAAAAACTGGTAAATGTCCAGCATTGTCCAAAAGCATCGAATTAACTAACAAATCTACCAATTACCTACATGCATATGCTGCTTCCCCAGCACAGTCGTCAGAGATTAGTAAGTAGACGATACAAGTCGAAATGGCATTCGCCTCTGATCCTCGGGCACGTGCGAATAGGGAGGATGGAATTGCGTAATATTTGCACACTCATCGCTATATTCAGAACCAAACGCAAATTCTTCGAGATAACTAGGGAGTTTTCCACAGGAAACCATGAGACAAATTTACTCATCGCTGAGTTCCTGCACTTTTGGCGATAATGAGTGAACTAAACTCAAATTTGGGTCGTTCTCATTCGCCGTGTACACAAAAGGAAAAGAGCCAGTGTCGCTACTTGATAGCAAACTACTCATAATGGGAGGAGTCTTTGTAGCTTTTATACCACTTGGTTGCACATCATTCTGCTTTAACCTGAAAAGATATAAAAGAGCGCTGCTGTATGGCATTAGCTCATTTTCGCTTCGGACGGCGTGGTGAACAGTAATAGCAGCAGTAGAAAGGTGGTGGCTTGTCCACTCCTTCACACCTAACAAGCAACAATTGACTGGTCGTGGCAAAGGAGGAAAAGGTCTGGTAGAGGCGGCGCCAAGCGTCATCGCAAAGTTCTTCGAGATAACCGCCATCGGTCGTCTGGCTCGCCGTGGTGGTGTCAAACGTATCTCCGGTCTGATCTACGAGGTGTGCTGAAGGTGTTCCTGGATAATGAGGTCCGTGATGCTGTCACCTACACTAAACACGCCAAGCGTAAATGGCCATGGATGTCCTCTTCAATCAAACGGCCCTTTTCAAGGCCATCAAGCTTACATCAGTAAAGAGTTGGAATAGAATTTATCTGTACTTGTTTGTCCATATTCAGAACCACTGGCCCTCAAGGACCACACAAAAAGCTCTCCAGAGTTGTAATCTTGTAACCAAACTTGGAAGCAGGGGTGCAAGTGATTTTGATTGATTCTCTTAATCAACTTTCTCTTTGAAAAAAATACTACAAATTTGGTACGCCTACAATTCAAAAACGGAAAGAGTTGAGATAATAGATAATTGATCAATTAAAAGAACTAAATGCTCTTCACATTTATTCCGTCCATTAGCGGTCCTACGTCAAGCTTCCGTTCGTGCCCTTAGGCACAGACCCTTCTACTTTTTCATATGTAGAATATCACCCAAAATATGGCATGTGCGCTTAGTACTAATCTTTGTGGTATCTACTAGCTCACGCACCTTCACTTTCCAACACCATTTCATGTTTTTTTTTGACATTGTCCTCTGTGACTGCTAAGAGAAGAGGGGGCGAAAATGAACCACTTTTCTGTCAAACGTGAACCAGCTCCTGATTGGCCGATAGATAGAGATAGAGATAGCAATAAAAGAGCAAGAAGCCAATTGTCACCTCTTCCTCTTGGTGTAACCGCATCGGAGGGCCTGCCGCTGTGGAGCATTAGCCCCATAATAGTTATCCAACTTTTCTATTGTTTCCTTCGCGGTTTTGCCACTCAAAAAATAATGTTTTATGAGAGAACGAAAATCGATTTTATTGGCGTTGACGGCACCGTTGAAAAATTTGCTCTTCCAGCAAATATAGACAGTTTCTAATGGAAATTTTCGGTGGAGTGAAAGGATAGTACATAGTACAGTCTGACGTTTGCTTATAAATTTTATCATAGGAGTAAAGAGCTACAGAGTCGCCGTCAACGCCAATCCGTACTCAACATGATGCCAAACACGTCAACAACAATCAGCTGTCAAAACAAAACTAAAGACAGTATCGCACTGAAATTTGGCATGTCTGCCTAAATCAAGCTGAACATTGCATTAGGTCCTACGTAACATTGATCGATTCTCTTCGTCGCCTTTTTTTTAATCACTTGAGCACATAACTGTTTCTTGTAGTGTTTGTCATTTTAGATGCTGGATAAAAGCTTCTTTCATCGATCTGTGTGCCGAAACTACCTGGGAATATATTTACATGGTCGTGGGAATACAAAGAGAAAGTCGACGAAGATAATCTGTCAATGTTACTGTCAAAACAAATCGCTGTCAAAACATTCCAAATCCGACCCCTAGAGGCGCTACTATAGAATACGTAAAATTTCCGGATACTAAGTGGAACAAATTTTAATAAGCGTTTAAATTTACCATACGTGTTCGTTGAACGTCATGCGACAGTTATGTATGTTTGTATGTGGTAGAGCTGTAATTCTTAATGATGAGTGGGATTAGAACTGAATTTTTATTTTTATAAATTTAATCTACATCAATTCCATCAATTTAAATTCCCACCCCTTTTTGTTTTACGTATCTTTCAAACAGGTGAAAATCCTGCGGCGATGCAGCACGGCGATCACGGCAACGGTGTCCTGGTGGGGACACATCTCCATCTGCTGCTGACGGTTGTAACATATCAGATCATCAACTTGTTATTGTGTGCACATTGAAAAATATAGAAACCCCTTCCGAGCTATCACGTTACGGCGGTGGTGGGAGTGGTGGAGTGTAAACAACAAATTATAAATATTTAACGAAAAGGAGCCATGATGGCTGGAGGCTGCGACAACAACAACAAGCAAGTAGACAAATCTGAAAAACAGAAAAAGGCATTGGGCCTTATTACGGGTGTCACTACACGGTGATAAGGAAGTGATACTCATAATAAGAGCCGTAATTGCTGTACAAATCAAATGGGAATCACTTCACCGTGACGACAAGTGACAAGTTTTCACCGTGAAGTGACATCCGTAATAAGCCGCATTATATAGGCTGTTAACGATGGCCCGATTATGTATTGAGCTGGGATAAAGAGTGAATCCCGTTAGCAGAAATAAACAAATTTACACGTACAATGTTGACCGACGACGGCCAAATTCAATACACAATCCTTTCGCGAAGTGAGCTGTTGGCGGTTGATGGCAAAAGTGGATATACACTGTGGTGAAGCTCGGTCGAGATCAAGGCAGGTTTTCCTTGATGGAACGGTCTTTCTTCAGCTCAAAAGAGAATCTTTCCTATCTGGGTGCACCGTATTTTTACACACAAAACAAAAGGCATGAACATCAAATATTAGTAAGAATTTCTTACATCCCCTGCATTGTTTCTTTCAACGAATTAAATTGCAGTTCTCTTCACAATGAACTGAAGGAAGCGCTACATAAATTACGTAACGCAAGAGTTCCAAATTTTGGACTCCCTCCGCTCCCATATGTCACAATAAGTAACGCTTCTTGGCAAAACGCTATTTCATTCAACCCCCCGTTTTTATGTTTTTATTGGTTATTATTTTACGTCAACGCAAGCTCTATCCCCCTCCATGAATTACGCAATTTGTGCACAAAGCCTAGCGTACAAGCAAGTACTTCCAGAATAAATGCTTTCGAACAAAATCGATAACGTTTTAACTCCGCTTCAAACTACTCAGGTGTCGGTAACCACCTAGCGTATATTTCATTTAAACAAAAACCAAGCAGACCAGGTTTTCTCAGGCATTAAAATGTAATCAGATTGGAGCTGAAAGCTAAGGAATCGTTTGAATACATTCAGCAAAGTGTGTTCTGGTGAGAAAATACAGTAAAATTAACTTTTCATATCAATCAGAAGATGCTCGAATGATGAACCAATCCACTATGGGCAAAAATGGGTCTAAAATTACCCAAAATTCAATATCTCAACAGCACGCTGAATTTCGGCCATCAAAAACAACTTTTCCGAAAGGAAATCGTACGGGAAATCGATTTCAGGTGGTCCCATAGACCGGAGAGCCTTGTAGGTATGTGTTTTTGACCATTTTACCCCATTTTCCCCTACATTTTCGAGGAAATGTTTTTTCACAGCTCTATTTTTCGTAAAACATAAGCACTTTATGCATGGTTTTAGAATACTATGTCTTTAAAGAACAGTTCATGAGATATTAGGGAAATATGGGGTACACTTTATAGGGGAGTAAGGGGTTAAAGTGAAACCATAAAAAATAAATACAATCAATGTTTTTAATACAAAAAAACATTTTATTTTTAATATTATCATATTTTTTTTGAAAAATACTCTTAATTAACTTTCATTTGGTATTTTGAGTTCCGTCATCGGCCAAACAGTTCAAAAGTTATAAATTTTTGAAAAAAATAAAAAAATAAACTTTTTTTCACCGTCCTAATATATAAATAGTCACCCTAATGACAACATAAAAAATAAGGGTCTAATATATTCCGATAAGGAACAAAACTACCAATTTTTACAAAATTCTGAGAACCACTATATCGTTTTTCTGTATATTGACAAAAAAAGTGAAAACTCTTTTAAAACAGATAGCAGTAAATTAAAACTTATTTAACCCCAATTAACCTTAAAATTTCGAAAAAAAAAGTCTTATTATTGCAGGCAACCTTTGGGGTCATTCAAACAATCGCATCGTTCAACATTTTTATGAATTAAAATAAATTTAGCGAGGGTTCACTTTAACCCCTTACTCACCTATAAAGTGTACCCCGTATTCCTCTAATATCTCATGAACTGTTGTTTAAAGACATAGTATTCTAAAACCATGCATAAAGTGAAAAAACATTTCCTCCCAAAAGTAGGGCAAAATGGGGTAAAATGGTCCAAAATACATACCTACAAGGCTCTCCGGTCTTTGGGACCACGTGCAATCGATTCCCCGGACAATTTCCCTTCGGAAAAGTCGTTTTTCATGGCCGGAATTCAGCGTGCTGTTGAGATATTGAATTTTGGGTAATTTTAGACCCATTTTTGCCCATAGTGCAATCTATGAAGCATCTGTCGTATATAGATCCTATCGTGCTCCATCTTTTTGCAGGAAACTAGTCTTCATCAATCGCCTTTAAATCTTTTTCTTCTTCTAAGCATTTTGCGCTCCTAGCGTTTCGCCGACTCTCAACTTAGTGTTCTAGACGAACTTCCTCGGTTATTAATGGGAGAGCTATCTATGCCAACTAACACATGAATTTGTATATTGTGTGGCAAGCACAATCATACTCTATGCCCAGGGAAGCCAATGAAATTCCGAAAGAATTCTTCGATCGGATCGGGAATCGAAACCACCGCCTCCGGCTTGATAATGACGACAAACGATTACATACTCGAGTTTTACCGTGGTTATGTCATTTATGGTCTGCCCTGGTCCCTTCCGAATTGTCTCATTATTTATGAATGGCTCTTATTTCAAACTTCGGAGAAGCGGACGAGTGAAAGAGCACTAGACTTTGATAGTTTCGTCTTTCATGAAACACGTTTCATGACGTTTATGACAGAAGGTGAAAATGTGTATCATAAGCATTCCACACGTGAAAACACTTGAAGGTTACACGTAATATGTTTAATTTAAGAAAAACGGGGCACAACGCATTTTGAACAAATTGAAAGAGTGTTGGTGAAAGGGATTGAAAGCTTTAATGAGGTTTCGTTTAATTAGCAAATCGACGTTAGTTTCATTTAAAGCAGCGATGAGCAAAGCAACGGCGAGAAAATACACAGCAAGCATTTCTTTCTAAGCGTGCTTCTTTTCGATTTTCGTTTCTTACTGATAGGCGTTATCGACATGATTTTATTTTGTGAATTTATTTATTTGTACAGGCTCAATCGAATAAACTTTACAGATCCAAATTATTTTTCGCGTAATACATTATTAATGTCTTAAATCTAAAGATAAAATCTAAAGTTAAGGTTCAATTTACTTTGATGCTTTTTGGAAAATTTCAAAAGCAGTTTTTTTCGTCGCATTAGTTTAGATTGCAAAAAGCTCGCGTCATTTTGTTTAAAATATCAAAAGGAATCGAATAGTGCGAGCTTTTTGCAATCTGAAATAATGCGTCGGAAAAAACTGCTTTTGAAATTTTCCAAAAAGCATCAAAGTATATTGAACCTTAAAGGAATTGAACCGAATACTTACGGTCGTCTCGAGGTTAGTGGCGATTTACAGTTTCATGGAAGGGGAGAGGGAGAAGGAGGTTTGAAAATATGATTGACGATACAATTATTTCATTATTCCTAACACATGAACTTATTCCTATTCAACTTGATATAAGCAGTGTAATTCTACTATTATTACAAAGCAAATATTAAAAATAAAAACCAACACAGACACAAAATACAAACTAGCCGGCGCCGGTGGTGTAGTGGTAAGCGTGACTGCTTTCTAACACCCCAATGGGTCTGGATTCAATCCCAGCCGAGGTCGGTGGGATTTTTCTGAGGCATAAAACTCTCTGGTCACGTCTGCCTTCGGAAGGGAAGAAAAGCCGTTGGTCCCGGCCCATGTGTTTGTGGAATGCGTGCGATATCCTACGCAGGTGTGAAAACGGCCTTCCTGCACATTCGGTTGCTGTCAATTGATGGCAATCGATGGCAATCGATGGCCGTCGGTGATTGGCACTAGATTTCGGAACTGAGACCGACGTTAAATAAAGGAAAAGAAGAAGAAAATACAAACTAAACACGAAGTGATATCAAATGTACAACCTAAGATTCATATTCTTCAAGAAAACATATATGAGTTTCATAAACTCCAGATAGCGTCCAGCCAAAACATCCCCAACTGGAACATTAGGTTATCTACCACGAGCCCGAAGGGAATCATATAGCTCAGATCTGACTCCACGATGCTCAGCACAAGACCAAATGATGTGATCGGCGTCTCGGTAACCTTGTCCACATTCACAGAGATTGCTGTCCCCCAGCCCAACACGCATCAAGTGAGCGTTTAACGAGTAGTGATTGGACATGAGGCGAGACATCACACGAATGATGTCTCGACCCACCTCCAACCCTTTGAACCAAGGAATCTTCGACACCTTAGAGATGATCGTATATAGCCATCATCTCAAACTCCCTTCACTCCATTTATTTTGCCAGCTGGCGACAATAAATGAAGAAAAATTCGTCGTGCGCGATTTGTCGATCGTAAATATCGCCTTCCATAGCGCCCACCTTTGCAAGTGAGTCCACTTTCTCATTGCCCGGAATCGAGCAATGCGATGGAACCCATACAAAGGTGATGACAAAAGATCTTAAATATAAAGCACTTAGAGGCTTCTCAATAAAATACGAGGAATGCTTTACCGACCTCATGGAGCGAATAGCCTCAACAGAACTGAGACTATTAGTAAAAATAAAATAGTGATCAGGGGCAAATGAGGCGATAGTTTCTAGCGTATAATGTATTGCTGCCAGTTCAGCAACATTTACGGAACAAGGAGCATGAAGCATTCGAGAGGCGCTATGAAATTCTTTATAAATACCAAAACCAGCGGACGCCTCTATTAGTGATCCATCTGTGAAGAACGATCTTGCGGAATCAACTTGGCCAAACTTTGCAGCATAAATTGACGGAACAATCATGGAACGATGATGTTCTGGGATTCCATGAATCTCCCGCGTCATAGATAAATCAAAACTAACTGAATTGCCGAAGTCGGAGAAGCATACACGATGGGGATTATGCTGTGAAGGGCTGACATCCTGTATTATGTACACGTAGTACACTGACATAAAACGAGTTTGAGGGTTTAGCTCAAGAAACTTCTCAAAGTTTGCAATCACCAGTG